GCTGTTTGCGTTCAGTGGATACTCTCCAAAATGGCACCAGGTTTTTTTTTTCTTTTGCAGACAAAAAGTATTCTCGTAGCTTCGTAATATTACGGTTGAACCCCTGATGTCACATGGATTATTTTACAGATCTCCTTGCTACGTTTCTGGACCTGAGAACATTTCAGTTGCGTTGCTGTCTATAGGAGGGTCAGACAGCTCTCAGATTCCATCCAAAATACGTGCAGGCGTTGAGTGGCTTTGGAATATAAATCGCAGCATGTTTCAGATGAAAAAACGAGACTTCTATTTCTGCAAATATCACAGTTAGGAGATTTATAGCGAGTGGTTCCCTGCATTATTACAGCAAAGCGCGTGATTACAGTACTACGCCGCTGCCCGGCAGCAGTTTTCTGTCGGGGATTTGTTGCGCCGCGCTGCTCACGTCCGTAGACACGGTGTAACATTGGTTTTGCTTTGTTTCACAGAACTAATCGTTGCCTGGGTTGCGTACGTATATGTGGGGCGGAGCTATCAAAATAGGGGCAAGACCCTTTTGGGGTAGGGGCGTGTTTGTTTTGGTGATTTTAAATATCAACATTGGCTACCAGAAATCCAGAAATAATGGGACGACATGGAATGAAAAAGTTAACGACATGTCTATAATCCTGCCCACTCTAAAGCCATACTAAACTGCAGTGGAAACGCAAACCGAGCTGAGCCGAGCCGTACCATGCAGTGGAAAAGTGCCATAAAAACCATAGTTAGCTAACGATGCTATTGGGAAACGCACCCCTGGTCGGGAGCAGGTTTTCTTCGTAAACCCAGAGTTTCTTTCGGCCTCCTCCCCCTTTTTAAAGCATAAGCGATGTTTGAATACCTAATTCATTCATGCTGCAAAAAATTATTTTCTTACAGAGTATGTTTTGTCTTATTTCAAGAACAAATATTTAAATATTAAAATCAATATGCATTTATATTCACGAGAAATGATATAAAATATTTAGTCTTGTTTCCTGGGGGAAACAAATGCATTTTAAGTGCATTTTATGTAATTGTATAAAAGTACAATTATCCGCCATACGGAAAGAAAAATAATCTTAATGCAAACGGAAACAAAATTTGTTTTATTTATTTTTTTATGTTTCTTACCCCATTGGCAGATCATTTGCAAAATTAGAAAAATGCACTTAAATTATTAGTACTTTTTTTTTCCACAGGAAACAAGACTCTAAATATCTTGTCACTTTTCTTATGTAGAAAATGCATCTTGATTTAAGAATCTTCAGATATTTTGACTGGAAACAAGAAGACAAAAAATCTAAGTAAGAAAAGCATTGTTGCAGTGCAGGTGCATTCATTCAGTGCACATATTCTCATCATGCAGACACTGTCAAAGTGACAAAAATGGCATGTCTTTTTATACAGGATCCTATAGATGAGGAGACTACATTAATTTGTTGGAAGTTTTTTTTTCACATGCATATGGATACTTACCTGCGTCAAAAGACGGAAGAAGACCATTAGAGAGGAGTAGGTTCGTTAAGAGAATATTTATTAACAGGATTCAGCAGAGAATCAAAATGGCAGGCAACTGATGAGCATTCATGTACAAAACAAGAAGCAGCTACTTAGCTTGAGTAAACCGTTCAAAAGGATCTCTTTCTATGGTAGAGCACAGGATGATGATGATTATGGTGAGGTCTGAGGATTGCGGGAAGAAGAGAGAGTCCTTTAAGTGTCTTGTATAGACTTCAAGACCAGACAATGAGTGTGAGAAGTGAAGGTGTATATGTACTGGTCTTGATTGGGCGGTGACAGGTGCAGAAGATTAGTATTCAGGTGGATTCTGATAGGGCAATTCTGGATAGGGCATCTCCCCGGGTGTTCTTGGTTTCAGGTCGGTAAGTCACAGAGAAATTGAAGCGAGTGAAAAAGAGAGAGCCCATCGGGCTTGCCTAGGGTTAAGGCACTTTTCTTCTCGAAGGTATTAGAGAACCCCCAGGTTACGGTGGTCTGTGATTACCTGAAAAGGATGAATGGCCCCCTCCAGCCATTGTCTCCATTCCTCCAGGGCAAGTTTGATGGCTAGTAACTCTCGATTACCAATATCATAATTTTGCTCCGCCAGGGTAAGTTTGTGGGAGAAATAGGTGCAAGGATGTAATTGCAAGGCCCTCCAGAGTATTGGGACAACACTGCTCCAACACCCACTGTGGAAGCATCCACTCCAATTTCTAAGGGCCTCAGGTGACCAGGAAAGAGTTTTGGGCTTTGTCTTTTAACATGGAAGTGAGTGGGGCGGAGTACAAACGGAAATGGTTGATGAATCAACGATAAAAGTTGGCGAACCCCAGAAAACGCTGTAGTTCCTTGATGGTTATGGCCATTCACGGATTGCTTGAACCTTGTTATTGTCCATTTGGATACCTTGTGAACTGATGACGTACCCGAGGAACTGGTGGTACGGTGGAACTCGCACTTCTCCAGCTTGAGGTTAAGATGGTATTCTCTCAGCTCAAGAAGGACCTGCTCCACGTCTCATTCCGGGACTAAATGAGTATATCATCTATTGGCGCTTTTCCACTGCATGGTACGGCTCGGTACGGTTCACTTTTTGGGGGTTTTCCACTGGGTACAGTACCTGGTACTTTTTTTAGTACCACCTCGGTTGGGGTTCCAAGTGAACCGTACCGTTACCAAAACGTGACGTGTAAACTCTGCGAGAGAATCGTCACTACCTGCCTCACTGAACTTTTGACACAAACACAAAAGAACCGCTAGATTTAAATCAGCACAGCCAGCGAAGGATCGAACGCAACTGTTTTGAACGAGCACCTTTTTTTAACTACTAAAAAGTTTTGTTGTCTGTTGCGGAACAACAGACGTTCCTCTCGTTGATAGCAGAGGAGCGGATCCAGCGAGAGCTTGATGGGGTGACGCGGAATGAAAAAGTTTTTTTTAAGGAGTCGTGGTAATAAAGGCGGCGCAACTATAACACATGTGAATAATCCCGTCCACTCTAAAGCGGTACTGAACTGCAGTGGAAACGCAAACCATGCCGAGCCGAACCGTGCCGTACTGAGCCGTGCTGAGCCGAGTCGTACCACGCAGTGGAAAAGCGCCATATATAGACGATCACGAACTGATGGAGGTACTCCCGGAACACCTCATTCATAAATCCCTGGAAGATGGAGGGTGAGTTAGACAGCCCATAAGGCATAACGAGATATTCACAGTGGCCAGTAGGGTTGAGGAATGCTGTCTTCCACTCGTCACCTCGGCGAATCCGAATGAGGATGTAGGCGCTTCGCAGATCCAGTTTGGAGAAGATGCGAGCTCCACGTAGTTCCTCAAGGACTGCTGGGACCAGAGGAAGTGGATAGGGAAATTTGACAGTTTGAGAATTGAGTGCCCGGTAATCAATACAAGGACGTAGGCCTCCGTCCTTCTTACCAACGAAGAAGAAACTCGACGCAGCTGGTGAGGTGGAAGGGTGGATGAAACCTTGCAGGAGAGCCTCCTCATTATAGCCTCCGCAGCAGGTCGATGGCACAGTCCCATGGCCGGTGAGGTGGTAGGTTAGTGGCGTCCTGCTTACTGAACACATCCTGGAACGCCCGGTATTCTGGACGAATGAGAGGTGTCTCCTTTGGTTCGGGGCTCTCAACATTAGTGGAACAGACTGAAATCAGACATGAGGAGGTTGGTGAAATCTTGAGGATGCAATTCTGATGACAATATTCCCTCCATTGAAGAACCTCATTGGTGATCCAGTCGATTTTGGGAGAATGTTGGACCAACCACGGGCATCCCAGGATGATTTCCACTGTAGAGTTCTCCAGCACCAGGAATGAGATGGTCTCCTCACGAAGACACCCTATGCGGAGCGTGATGTTAGGAGAGAGGAAGCGCACCTTGCCTTTGCCCAGCGGTTTTCCTTGAATAGTGATGATATTTAATACTTGAGAGTTGGTTTTCCATTTCAACTGAAGGTGATGTAACATAGTCAATGAGATGAAGTTCCCGGAGGAGCTGGAGTCGAGGAGGGCTTGAGCTGGAAGAGATCGGTGAGAGGAAATTAATTGTACGGTCATACGAGATAAGGAGGTTATCTGAGGTTTAATTGGAGGGTACTCACCG